TTGGGGGCATCTGGGTGGTTCTGTTAAGCATCTCTTGATTTCAGCTCAGGTCACAGTTCATGGAATTGAGCCCACAACCAGCTAAGCGCTGTTAGTGCTGAGCCTGCTTGGGATTCTTTCTCTCCATCTGCCCCTCCCCTGCTTTCTCTCTCTCTCTCTCAAAATAAACATTTAAAACAATTTTAAAAATGTATAAAAACGGAAATTTAAATTTATCAAAACTTCCTGTGAAATAAGGTGCTAAGCATTAAAGTTTTTCCTCTGGGTTTGAGGTTTTTGTGATTATTGTAATGAATAATTGATCAAAACAACATCAATATGTTATACATTTCAATAATAATTAAAAATAAAAAGTAAAATTTACTGTTAATGTGTCTTATAATGAGCTAAACTGTGTATCTAGGAATCAGTATGATTTACTGTCATAATGAACCAGAGTAATGTATTGGTTCTATTCCCACTTTTACGAATTTAACATAGGAGAAAGTTCAGAGAAACTTTCTCTTTCAGAGAAAGTTCATTCACATAAAGCAGTAGATGAGAATGGAAGTTTTGTCACAGCAGAATCACAGAATTCTTTTCATTCCTTCTGGGTTACAGGCTAAAAAGCATATAATCATCTATCGTCAAATACTATTTTTAATAATCTCTCTTAGCTTATATTTCATATAGGTCAGCCTCAAAATTTGTTTTAAAACAAGAAAAGGACTTGTCACCGCATCATTAGAGTTATTCATTTTCTCAATTCTGTGAAGCATACCAAAAAATCTTACGAGGATTCATCATGTCCTTTCATTCAGAGGCTTGTTTATTCTAAGACACTGAAACAAGATTGGGAAAACTGAAATGCTGTTCATTTCAACATGCTCTGGCAAAGAAAACAAAAACATTAGAAAAACTCAAAACCAATTCAAATGTTTTTATGTTATTACTTGCTTTATCTGTATTTCTGAAAAAACAAAATACCTCAGAGCCGAAAATTGGGCTCATTTAGTTGGAGCATGTCTATCGTGTAACATAAATGGCAAAACCTGCTGCTAATGCCAAACCAGCCTGCCAATGGTGGCTTACTTTTCAGAAAAATACGATTTAATTTTCCAATCAAATAAGTGTTAACCCATGTCCCCATCCACCGCATCTCATCTGACTTCTAATTCCAAAATTTCAGTCAGCCACAAATCCTTATGCCACTTGGATGAAACAAGGCACTACCCCTTCCAGCATTTCTCCTTTGCTTTTTGGGGTTTGCTCTTCTATCAGGAATGATATTCTTTCATAATGAATAGAAAATGAAAAGGTGAGGTCATTTCAGGAAAAGTCTTACATTCTGGGAATTCGGAACACTGCAACTCAGGCCAGGTTTTAATGCGAGGCTTTGCCCTTAAACAGATACATTTATAAACATACGAGACCTCTGAAAGACAGACTTTTCCACTGTGGTCCTTGCATGTCTTTGTCCTCACAGCTAAACCTCTTCACACTCTCTCACACATGACTCTGATCCCAAAATGTCCCTCACCACCCCTCTGGATTAAATCCCAAATGATCAAACAATGGCTACTAAATATCTAAGGACAATCCTTTCTCTTCCCCCCTCATAAAATGTTCTGCACTCATTCCCCAAATTAGAATGTTGCTTTTGACATCTTTTCTCATGCCCAGCGTTTTCAAATAAAGGCTTATTCTTTGCTCTGATTTTCTTCCATATAAGAAAGGGAAGGGCAGGAAGCTCTCCTTAATACCTTAATTAACAGAAACATCACTATACCAGTAATTTGAATTGTCCCTTTTTTCCAGACACCCTGGAAGGTTTTCCACCTTCTCCCCCAGGGCAACACACCATAAAAATACTCATGAGGCATGGGAGTATGCCTTTCTTCTTTAAAGTAGGAGAAGGGCAATTGTGAACAGGATGTGGGAAAAGAGAAGCAGCATACTACTTGGCTACCCTGATCAAAGGAGCTTTGTTAGAAAAGAAACACAGAAGTTGAGAACTGGGGATATGATTCCTGTAGAATTACTTGCACCCCAAGGTTTGAAGAACACTGGTTTGGTATGTGTAAAGCACAAATCACAAGTAAAGGGGTCACCACGAGCAGTCTTCTGTTACACAACAGAATCAGACTCACATGTACAGCAGCTATAGGAATGATTCAGAACACAAATACAAACAAATATTTATAAACCTTTTAAAGAAATAAGTGTTTAAAAATATAGTAACAAAAGACTATCAGAAACAGCTGGGCCAATTTAAAAACAACAAAGAGAACACCCAGAAATAAAAATGAAAACAGAAATTCAACAAATGGGTTATACAATAGGATATATGGAGGTGAACACAGACCTGCAAAAATTATACACAATGTAGCACAGAGACACAAAGGGATGAAAACATTAAGAGACAAAGGAGAAAAGTGAAGCACGTGTCTCATCAACATTTCAGTAGAGAACAGAGAATACTTGAACAGATAATAGAGAATTTTCCAGAATTTATGGAAGATACCCATCTGCAAATCCAGTATGCCAAAGTCCCAAACAAGGTAGATGAAAAGAAATCAAGTCTTGGAAAATTAGAATATAAATCAGGAGAGTGATAAATTGGCTATATTTTAAAATTAAGAACTTCTGAACATCAAAGGACTTCACAGAGTAAAAAAATCAAACTATGAACTTGGAGAAGACATCTGCAATGCACATACAACAAATGATTAGTATATTATTAAGAAAAGATAAATACTGAAATTAAAAAAAAATAGAAGCAATAAATAGGTATTTCAAAAGGGAATCACAAATGGTAATTAACATATGAAAAGACGCTCAACCTCATTAAGACTCAGTGAATTGCAAATTCAGCTTGAATTTCATGCTCACCAGATTGGACAAAATTTAAAAGTCTAATAACTTCAAGTATGGTGGGTACCTCAGTGTTCATTTTATTATTCCTTAAACCATACACACGTTATATGTATTCTTTAATATGCATATGTTTCATAACAAAAATATTATTTAGCTACCACGTGGATTTAGCAATGCAAATGTTTGTTCATGGCCCTGTTGAGAGCAGTTTTGGTGAAATAAAAGGCATGAAAAGCAGACTGCAATGAGCTGAAAAGGCTCTGGGAGAAAGGGAGGTAAAGACAATACCCACGACTATTTCAAGCTTACCTTTGAAGTTAGGCAGACAGGACTATAACTTTACAAGAATGTCATAGTGGCAGCTTTTCTTTTTTCTTTTTAAATTAAAAAAAAAAAAAAACTGGGGCAAGTTTAGAAAGAAATAGCGAAAGGGGGGAGATGATGACACAGAAAATAAAAGTCCCTAGGTATTCACAAAGGTATGTAATACAGAACTCATGAACGGGAATTTGTTTTAGACAGGAACAAGGGTTCCTACTTACTTCATTGTTATAGGAAATTACCTCTTTGACCTTATCGCATCATTTTTCTCCTTGCTATAGCCACTCCAGTTACAATGAGCTCCTTGATCCTCCTTCAAACAAGCCCCTGCCTCATGACCTTTGCATATATTCTTCCCTCTATATTTTCCAGATGATGCAAAGCCTGTCTTTCTCTTCGTTCAAGTCTTTGCTCAGATGTGAACTCAGTGACACATTCCATAACTACCTTGAAAGTGAAATCCCCTCCTTGCTCCCTACCACCCTACTCCTAGTACTCCCTTCTCTTTTCCTTGCTTTGTCTGTCTTCAAAACCTTCTACTAGTCCATATAATATGCTCATTTTATTGTTTAATCTCCTCTCTTCCTCACTTGTATATATGCTGCATGAATGCAGGAACTGCAGCCACAGTGCCTAGTAATGCCTGATACAGGAAGAAGTTCAATAAGTACAAGGTGATTAAATGATTAATAGTCCTTCCTTACTTGTGGAACCTGAAAAACAAATATAATGGAAATAACACTGTATGATTTGAACAAAATGGGAGACAGCCTAGAGAATAATCACCTTACTGCCTACAGAAGAGGTGACATTTGGGTTAGATCTTGTATCATGAGGAGTTTGCCAAGTGGGAAAAAAAAACAGGTAGACATTCCAAGAAACTGAAGAACGTAGAGGTGTGAAAGGGCCTTGAATACTTGAGAAATGGAGGTACTGGAGTTTGACAGGGATGAAAGTAGACCAGAGTTTAGTGAACGTTTCAATGTTCACAAAAGAGGACACATTATATTGAGCTTTTCAATGCTAAAAGTCCTTCACAGAAGATTACAATTGCTTGGTAACTTGTTTTATTTGCCGTCAAGTTTAAAGTTTACATAAAAAAACTACTAGACATACTACGAAGGAAAAAATTTGAACAACCTAATTTGTTCTCTATCAACTGTAGATTATAGGTCTCATAATCAACCAAAGTGATAGTATTGCTACCAAATGTCTTGGCCCCAGGTATTATTCAAAGAAGACAGAAAATTCCCACTGGTGGGAAGATGGTCAAATTCAAGTGCTAGTTTCCTAGCAACTCATCTCCATTTCATCATTTATGAGTTTCTGAATGGGCTTTCATGTTGTCATAATTAACCTGCACTTATTACTATGTTTTCAATTAGTCTACCTTCTTCCTTTTGTCCACATCACTACCGTCTTCGGGACACTCACCTTTGTTTTAGCCCCAACACAATTAACTTAACTGTCGAGGTGATTCTGGAGACAGGAGACTTGCTGAGTATACACAGAAAACCTTAAGACAGTGTGTCACTGAGCTCATGAGCCCATGCAGCCAGTTTGGCAATATTTAAGCCCAAGACTGGAGAGGCGACGAAAACCAGGGGTGCTTTTAAGTTTTGTCTCTCTGGGCCTGCGAGGGGGAAAAAGGGGGGAAGGAGGGGAAATCCCAGAGAAGGGCGGGGCCGCACTGTGTTCCCAGGGCAGGCCAGAGGTCAAAGCTCAGGTCCAAAGCTGAAGGGGCGGGGCCTGCCTTAATAACCAAGGGGTGGTGTGTGGGCCCCGGAGGGTAAGGAGAGGCACGGCGGCTCGGAAAGACTCACAGTAATAAGCGACCACAGGGTCCCGCTTGTCATGCTCCTGAGCCGTCCTCAGATGATGCTGTATGCTCTTAAACTGGGGGGGGAGTGGGGGCAGCTGAGCAAGCGCGGCCATCTCTATTCCAGGAATCACCACTTCCTACTCGCGCGCTACCGACACTTCCGCTTCCGTCCGGCAGGTCGCGCGCACGAACGCGCAAAAATCCCGCCCACTTTCCGTTGCTCAGCGACAGCAAGTCAACTACGGGCTCCCAGCAGGGACATTCTCAGTGTACCCGGCTCCGGAGGGGTAAGATACCAGTGTAGGCTAAGCGGCACCGCCGTGGTGCCGCTTGTGGCACCAGCGCTCTCTGCTGGCTGCGGATGGGAGGGAAAAGAGTTTTTGTTTTCTTTTACTTTCTTGCGTCCCCCAGGCCTTTTTTTTCTTTCCTTTTTTTTTTTTCTTTTTCTTTTTCTTTTTTTCTTTTCTCTTTAGCGAGACGGAAAGTAGAAAGGGGAAAACATGAAGAGAATAAAGTTTGCTGATTGGGAGAAAGGGTAAAGTGAATTGTCGTTGACATCATTTCAGGAATTATCACTTCCAGTTCCTCAGATTATTTTAACAGTGTCCGTAGAAACCTTTCTATTTGTAGAAACAGTAAATTCAATTATTGCCCGAGATGAGAGATGATGTGTTTAAAATTTTATATTGAATTCTTTTATATTGATACATTGGATAAAATAACCAGACTTATTTTCAACTTAAACACTTAAGCACATAAGCTTAAAGAAAATTGAATTTTCCTTCTGAAGTGGGTCGGTATCCGCTAGCGAATGAATAATCTGAAGGTCATTTATTTCTGGGTAATGATGAACAATTTGTCAAGTATTTTAACTCATACCATTGTAGACATCAACTTTTCCTTCTACAACCAATGACTTCAATTCTTTTTCTCTCTTCTCATTCTGTCATCTTCTGGGACTTTACACTTCATTTGCCCCCTCCAGTAACCTTTATCTTTATTGCTTTATTTCCTCAGTTCCCAGTTTTCAAGGTTCATCTTAAAACTAGTTTTCATTGAAATCATACTATCTCCAAAGAAAAAGATCTCAAGCTCTGAAATTTGCCCTGCATGCTGTTTGCTAATCACCAAATCATCCTCCCCTCTCCCTCAACCCCTGCAGAAACTGCCCTGTGTTCTGTGTCCGTATTTTTATCCCTACTTTTGTCCCTCTCTGTTGGCAGAGTACATTGCTGTGGGTCTGCCTGTTTTTACCTGACAGAAACTGATTTATGTATTCTCCCCAATCTCAGTAACACATTCACTATCACTTGAGAATATAGGTGCTACAGACTGAATATGTTAAAATTCGTTTGTTGAAACCTAATACCCAGTGTGATGGTACTAGGAGATGGAGTCCTTGAGAGGTGATTAGGTGATGAAGGCAGAGCTTTTATAAATGGGATTAATGCCTTCAGAAAAGAGACCCCAGAGAGCTAGCTGGCCCTTCCCACTATGTGAGGATACAATAAGAGGGCAACAGTCTGCAACCTAGAAGAGTGGTCTCACCAAAACCTGACCATGCTGGAACCCAGATCTTAGACATCCAGCCTTCAGAGCTGTGAGAAATAAATTTCTATTGTTTGTAAACCACACAGTCTGTGGTATTTTGTTATAGCAGCCTGAATGGACAAAGACTGTATGGTTTCTCTCTCCTCTTATCCTCACTATTCTAACTTCCAGTCATAAGTTGCTGGATTGGTAGAAACTAAAGCAGAGTGGGATAACCATAAATGTCATCATTCTGTCCTTATGACTTCTCATTTATTATTTTCCTATTCTTCATTCTCAACTGTGCTTATCCTTAAAGTTCACCTAAGAAGTTTGTTCTGTTTTTGTTGTTGTTTTGTTTTGTTTGTTTTAAAGACATATCTACATATCACCCCCAGGCAGTCAGATGTAATTGCTCTTGGTTGGAGCCTAAATATCAGTATTTTTAAAAGGTCTTGGGGAATTTTAATGACACATCTAGAAGTGAGGACTAGTGCCATAAAGAATCTTCAACACATAGCTGATGTTTCAAGTCTTCTCTGCTGTCTTTAAGCTAGACCCTCTGCCCTGATTGCCTTGATGGGGCACTAAAGTTCCTGCTGTTGAGATTAAGGTCACCAGATAGGAATTGTTTGACCTCGCCTTTGCCACGACAAAGTAATAACAACTAGTTAACACTTGCTGAGCATCTATCATGAATCATGTATGTTTCTAGGGATATAACGTCAACTCATTTCATCTTTACAACAACCCTATGAATAAAGTATTATTGTTTTCACTATCTTACAGAAGAGAAAAATGAGACACTTAGAAGTTATGTAACTTGCACCAGATGACAGCCAGTAAATATGAATGTTTGTTATTAAAAATCCATGTGCTTTCGTTTCAGAGCCTGTAAATCTAGTCACTACTCCTTGACTTTAATATCTCTAGACCAAAATGTTATTGTATTTTATGTTTTTCCTATTGAATGATCCTGTGTCTGAAAATCATGTGTTCCTATTCCTAATGAAGTCTATACCTTCCTGTTATTCTCCTTTTTATTATTAATATCAATATTTAATGTTAATATTTTAAATATTTATTTTTTAAATATATTTAATATTAATACTTTAATATTTAAGTTTTAAATATTTATTTAGTTTTGATAGACAGAGACAGACAGAGCGTCAGCAGGGGAGGGGCAGACAGAGGAGACAGAACCCGAACCAGGCTCCAGGCTCTGAGCTTTCAGCACAGAGCCCGACTGGGGCTCGGGCCCACCAACCGTGAGATCATGACCTGAGCCGAAGTCAGATGCTTAAGTGACTGAACCACCCAGCACCCCTTCCTGTTATTCTCCTGATCTCTCCTTTCAGGACTGGAGGTTGCTCAGGTCTCTTTCTCATGACATATGTTCTAGGAAGAAAGGGTATGTAAGCAAGTAAGTGAAGTGGTTAAAATTGGATTTTACTCCATCTGCCAACACACGCTCTCTTCTTTCTAAGTAATGAACTCCCATTAGGAGAGGATAATTGATATGAGGGAGAAAAGTAACAGAGACTGTTAGCTTAGCAGCACATTGAAATTATGCTGTGAAACAAAATAAATCTTAACATGAGGTTGTTTTTTCTTGTTGATGTTTTATAATGAAGTAGTTACTATGAAGACAGACCCAAACTCTCCTCCATCCAGCTCTGAACAGTTGCTCAAGGATCTTACATCACCCTCCAGATTGGGGCTTGAATCTATGCAAGGTAGAGGAGGGCATGGATGGAATTCACCAGCGAAGCTGCCTGGGCCTGGCATTTTCTTTGTGGGAAGGCTTTTGATTTTTAATGTAATTTCTTTAATAAGTATAAAGATATTCATGTTTTCTGCTTAATTAAGTTTTTAATAATATATGCTTTTCAAGGAATTTGTTCATTTTATATAAGTAGCAAACTTATTGGCATAACATTGTTCATGATGTTTCCTTAAAATCATTTAAATATTCTGTTGAGATGCCCCTTTTTTTAAATTTATGATCTGAGTAATTTTCATTTTCTCTTTTATTATCTCGTCTATGGAGGAATGTATCAGTTTTACTAATCTTTTCAAGAACCACTTTTTGTTCCACTGATTTTTTTCTATTGTCTTTCAGTTTTCTATTTCAAAGTTTTGTGCTTTTTAAACAAATTTCCCTCCTATTTAATTTGTATTTAAACTGTTCTTTTTATAATTTCTTAAGGTGAGAGGCTTAAATCACTTTATAACTCAATTTTTTTCCTACCAGAACATTTAGAACTTTTAATGTTCTGTTAACTAGTCTTCTAGCTGTTTTCCATAATTTTTCAGAAATCATGTTTTTTTTTTTTTTTAACATTTATTTATTTTTGAGACAGAGAGAGGCAGAGCATGAACGGGGGAGGGTCAGAGAGAGAGGGAGACACAGAATCGGAAGCAGCCTCCAGGCTCTGGGCCATCATCAGCCCAGAGCCCGACGCGGGGCTCGAACTCACAGACCGTGAAATCGTGACCTGAGCTGAAGTCGGACGCTTAACCGACTGAGCCACCCAGGCGCCCCCAGAAATCATGTTTTTATTAGCATTTGTTTATAATAGTTTTCAATTTTCCACATAATTTCATCTTTAATCTATGGGTTAATAAAATTGTATTGTTAGTTTCTCAAATACTTGGGCATATTAATTCCTAGTTTAATTCCATTGTGATCAGCTTATATACTCTGTGATTTAATTCCTTCAGACTTTCTCATGGCCCAGCAAATAGTCTCCCTTGGTGAATGTTCCATATATGCATGAAAAAAATATGTATATAATTTGCTGTGGTTAGATGAAGTGATTTCTAAATATCAATTAGTTCAAGTCATCTACTAGTAACGTTTAAGACTCCCATATCCTTTCTGATGTTCTTTCTATCTTCTTGATTAGTGAGAGATGGGTGTTGAAATCTTTAATTATAATTGAATTTATTTCTTTTTTGAATTTTATCAAGTTTTGCTTCGTGTAGTTTGCTACTCTGTAACTGGTGACATTACAGAACTGTTATTATTCCTGGTGATATTACACTTTAATCATTATTAAATGTCTCTTTTATCCCTGTCATTATCCCTTGCCCTGAAATCTACTTGAGTTTTCTTATATTATAGCCACTTCAGCCCTCTAACGCTTTTGCATAATATATCTTTTTCCATTTTTTAAATCTATTTGTAAATATATTTGAATGGCCTAAGTACTAAATCTTTAAGTATTCAAAAATATTTAAAGTGGGGTTCTTGTTAATTGTTTGGTCTGGCTTTTAAAAGAGTGCATTCGTTTAATCTTTGTTTTTCTTTAGGGTGGTAAGAGCTTTTATACATATTGCTACTATTGATATTTTTAGTTTAGGTCAACCATCTTATCTTGCTTTCAATTTGTCCCATGGTTTTTTGTTTCCCTTTTCTCTTTCTGTGACCTTCTGGACTAATTGCATGTTTTATGATTCCATTTAATATACTTTGTTGGCTTTTCAGCCCAAATTTTCTTGTTTTGTTTTATCAGCTTATATGTCATAGTATATATCTAAAGATATATTACCACAATATACTTTAACTGATAATATACAACTTAATATATTGTAAGGACTGATAATAGTATACTATCACAC